ATTGGATTTCACTGAAAACACACCAAATGACTCCTCCCCCCATATTATGGCGTTGCCCAAATTTTAGGCTCGATCCGAAATCAGTGGGTGTAAGAAATTGGACAATTCAAGTTCAACGGCAGTTCGTTCCTAATTGGACTGGTTGGTGTATTACGTACTTCTAGTGATTGGATTTCACTCAAAACGCACCAAATGACTCCTCCAACCAAATTATGATATTGCCCAAGTTTTGGGCTCGATCCGAAATTAATAGGTGTAAGAAATTGGACAATTCAAGTTCAAAGGCAGTTCGTTCCAAATTGGAGTGGTTGATGTATTCCATACTTATAGCGATTGGATTTCACTCAAAACATGCCAAATGACTCCTCCCACCATATTATGGTGTTGCCCAAGTTTTGGGCTCCATCCGAAATCCATAGGTGTAAGAAATTGGACAATTCAAGTTCAAAGGCAGTTCGTTCCAAATTGGAGTGGTTGATGTATTCCATACTTATAGCGATTGGATTTCACTCAAAACATGCCAAATGACTCCTCCCACCATATTATGGTGTTGCCCAAGTTTTGGGCTCCATCCGAAATCCATAGGTGTAAGAAATTGGACAATTCAAGTTCAAAGGCAGTTCGTTCCAAATTGGAGTGGTTGATGTATTCCATACTTATAGCGATTGGATTTCACTCAAAACATGCCAAATGACTCCTCCCACCATATTATGGTGTTGCCCAAGTTTTGGGCTCCATCCGAAATCCATAGGTGTAAGAAATTGGACAATTCAAGTTCAACGCAGTTCGTTCCTAATTGGAGTGGTTGGTGTTTTCCATACTTCTAGCGATTGGATTTCACTCAAACCACACCAAATGACTCCTCCCACCATATTATGGTGTTGCCCAAGTTTTGGCCTCGATCCGAAATCAATAGGTGTAAGAAATTGGACATTTCAAGTTCAACGGCAGTTCGTTCCTAATTCGAGTGGTTGGGTAATTCACAGTTCTAGCGATTGGATTTCACTCAAAACACACCAAATGACTCCTCCCACCATATTGTATTCCGTACTTCTAGCGATTGGATTTCACTCAAAACGCACCAAATGACTTCTCCCACCATATTATGGTGTTACCCAAGTTTTGGGCTCGATCCGAAATCAATAGGTGTAAGAAATTGGAAAATTCAAGTTCAACGGCATTTCGTTCTTAATTGGAGTGGTTGGTGTATTCCATATGACTCCTACCACCATATTATGGTGTTGCCCACGTTTTTAGCTCGCTCCGAAATCAATAGGTGTAAGAAATTGGACAATTCAAGTTGAACAGCAGTTCGTTCCAAATTGGAGTGGTTGGGGTAATTCATAGTTCTAGCGATTGAATTTCACTCAACACACACCAAATGACTCCTCCCACCATATTATGGTGTTGCCCAAGTTTTGGGCTCGATCCGAAATCAATAGGTGTAAGAAATTGGACAATTCAAGTTCTACGACAGTTCGTTCCAAATTGGAGTGGTTGATGTATTCCATACTTCTAGCGATTGGATTTCACTCAACACTCACCAAATGACTCCTCCCACCACATTATGATGTTGCCCAAGTTTTGGGCTCGATCCGAAATGAATAGGTGTAAGAAATTGGGCAATTCAAGTTCAAAGGCAGTTTGTTCCAAATTGGAATGGCTGGTCTATTCCATACTTCTAGCGATTGGATTTGACTCAAAACTCACCAAATGACTCCTCCCACCATATTATGGTGTTGCCCAAGTTTTTGGCTCGATCCGAAATCAATAGGTGTAAGAAATTGGACAATTCAAGTTCAACGGCAGTTCGTTCCTAATTGGGTTGGATGGTGTATTCCGCACTTCTAGTGATTGGTTCTCACTCAAAACGCACCAAATGATTCCTCCCACCACATTATGGTGTTGCCCAAGTTTTGGGCTCGATCCGAAATCGATAGGTGTAAGAAATTGGACAATTCAAGTTCAAAGGCAGTTCGTTTCAAATTGGAATGGTTGGTGTACTCCATACTTCTAGCGATTGGATTTCACTCAAAACTCACCAAATGGCTCCTCCCACCATATTATGGTGTTGCCGAAGTTTTTGGCACGATGCGAAATCAATAGGTGTATGAAATTGGACAATTCAGGTTCAACAGCAGTTCCTTCCTAATTGGAGTGGTTGGTGTATTCCGTACTTCTAGCGATTGGATTTCACTCAAAACTCACCAAA